GTGGTTGAGAATTATTAATATATATTCGTCTATAAAATTTAATCCATGAATTTTTTTGGTAGTAAAATCGACTTGCCATTGTCTTTCGCTGATAATTGATGCTTTTTAACATAATCTATAGCCCAAGATTTCTCTTGAAAAATTAATTTTGTGATCAGTGCTACCCAAACCACTACTACTACTATTTACACCATAGACTTCTATGCATACTTTTTTCCCGCGAGTTTTAATAGAATTTGTTGCCGATAAACATCAGTGGCGTAATAATAAACACAATGGCGTAGCGAACGTAACTGCACCCGGGCCGCGACACTATATTGGCGCCCCCTCCCCCTCCAGAAACAAATTTTGTTATTCTTGGAAACCATTAGGCTCCCCTCTGCCAGTGGCGCCCGGGGCAAGCTGCCCCCACCCTCTGCTGAGAGGTTTTCTTCGTTTTTGGGCGATAGGAAATTCGGAAATTCCTCAAGGATAGGCAGCCTCAAAGGATTAACTTATCGTGTATAACAGCCTTAATTATTATACGAATAAAACTAAACCAAACGAAAAAAAGCTGTAGAGTACATTTCGTACTCATTTCTGAAGACAAATTTATATTTCCACTCCACATAAATTCCCATTGTAAATGTTTGAAGATCCAAAATCTTTATCAGACATTTACAATTTAAATATTTTATGTTTTGGACAATAATATGCAACATACAAAATGGCACTAAATTTGATCTTTGCAGATAGCACGTCATCATAACAGAGCCCTAGAGAAAGAGAGATTTCCAGTTTGCATCAGCATAATACAAGTAGACTCCCCCCCTATAACACTGTAGATAATTCCGTGTTATATGAATTCCATGTTGTACGAGTCACTTAGATTTTACAAATACGTGTGTCGGGCTGTGAACGGATCACGTATTTGTAAAATCTAAGTAACTCGTACAACATGGAATTCATATAAAACGGAATTATCTACAGTGTTATAGGGGGTTGACTGTACTTTTCAGTTTTTAACTCTTTCCATCACTAAGAGCATGGGCGAATGGGAAAATTTGATTTGCCCAAAATTTTGAACAAATACCAATTTTTAATTTGCCAATTTTATTATTTATTGAAAAATTAGCATGGTTTTAAGAATATTTAAATTAAATTCAATTTTTAAAAATTTTTTTTTTTCGNACAGAATTAGGTGCATTTCTTATTCCTGGGATTGAATTGAATTATCTACAGTTTACTTTAAATTATCCTTTCCCTCTCCAGGAACGTATAGTTGTTATTCAGTTTGCTTGAACATCTTAACAGGAAACGTCTTTTGTGTGTCAGCATGACTCGCCATGATTGATGGCCGGATGATCATGCGGTCGAGGTGGCAGCCTACCACTTTGGTGGACCGGGATTGAATCCTGACGGGTCAAAGAATCCCCAGGAATTTTTTGGGGAGTGGTCCAACTGGATATATGGGGTCCTGTCCCTCACCACCAGGCAGCTCCATTGTGGGTCTGGCCGAATCCATAATGGGCTTGCTAAAATGAGGCCCTTTTACCCACCACGACTCGGCATTTGCATTTCAATAAAATTTCTATGCTTGCCTGCAAAGAAATTCATTGTGATAATTGTTGTTTAATCAAAAAGGACAATATTTTTTCCTGTTTTAAAATCATGTCTTTAAGGGCATTAATCGTTCCATCTTTTTTAAGATTACTTTTCAATTTTTGAGATACTTGTAGGAATTGCACTTAAATTAAAATGCTCTCATATATTATTCGGAGGTAAATTAAAGTTGTAAAAGTTATATACATATCTATTTAATTAATTAATAGAGTGGAAATATCTGAAAGACAAAGTTAAAAAGTTAAGATGAAAAACTACAGTGTTATCTCTTACTTCAAATGCAAAATTCTATAATTGATCTCAGTGTTTGAACTGTGAGAGCAGTCAAACAATGTGCTGGACACAATCTGTTATATGTCCAAGTTGACTCTCACTCTTGCATTACTCTTGTATATTTTCAATGCTTTTTTTTGGTTTACTTTTGGTGTGTTTGATTATATATACTGTATTGTGTGTTATTCATCGATTTTTAACAATTTCTTTCTGCAATTTGTCGACAGCTGTTGGGCACCTATTTGTATCCTTTAGTTCAAAATTTTCCAACTGGAACTTTTTAAACCACATTTGACATGTTTGAAGTTTAGCACCTTCCCAATACATTAAGTATAATATGGCTCACTTGCTTTTTATTCAAGGATTTTATGTGTTGATTTGATTCAAAGAAAATGTGAAGTAGAATTTTAAGCTTTTAAACAAAGAATAGAACCATACACTATCTATAATATGTTAAATTTCACAATTGTTATAATTGTCTCTCATTATCAGCATGTTGTCAATATATCAGAGAAAACAAAAAACTAGTATTGTGCTGAACACTACAAAAACATGATAACATCTCTAAAGGAAATTTCTTTTATTGGAGTAGAATTTGAAAAACTTGTAGACCTATAAATTCCCACTATCGTTTGTCCGTCTGTTCATCTGTCTGTTTTTCCTTAATCTCGAGAACGGATTTCAATAAAAGACGAGACCAGATATGCAATCCTTAGGAGCAGGAGGTTCCAATTAACTATATACAAACTTCCGATGCAAACGTCATATTACAGTATTTCAATTTAAATATTTTCCTCTGATAGATGACTGGCATAAATCTATTGATAAAGGAAAAGTATGATGTACAGGGACAAGACAATAATAATTTGAAGTAGAGAGCATATATTTTAAATTAAATTTAAAATATGATTAAAAATTGCTGCAGCTTGGCATTGTCACAACAAATAATTGCTCAATTTTAATATTATTTTACTATCAAATATTTATACTCAATATTATTATTAGAGCATAATTTTCAAATAAGTTTAATGGAGAAATTATAGCTTATTTTAATTGTTTTAAACAAATAAATGAAGCATTGATAAAAATCAATGTGATAAGGAGGCAACATTTACAATTAAATTATTTCAATTTAATGGTTTATTTATTTTAATTAAGAATCATTTATTTTACTAAGCATAAACAGAATTTCTCATAAATCATTTAGTCAAAAAAATTGAATAATAAAGTTTTTCTTCTTATTATTCATTTTTTGTTTAAATTTATTGAAAAATTGATATGGTATTCTTATTACTACTTTATAAAATTTTATTTTATAGCATACCAATTTAGTTGCTTAAGCTGCAAGTTTTTTAATCTTAATTTTAAATACCGCATGTTATTTTTGTTATTATTTAATTATATATAAAATTAGAGTTTATTTTAAAAGTTTTACATAAAATTATTAGTATACTGGCTGGTATGAGGACAGTCTTTTCGGTGGATTACAGAAGACAATTGAAAGTATAAAAGCCACAGACCCAAATTTTGGTGCGTCAAATAAACTATAATTAGTTAAATTTATTTTATATTTTGTTCAATCATTGATAGAGAAAGAATTATTTACTTTCTACAAATATTTACTTTTATTCTCATGTAGTTATGGGTCATGTATTGTCTGTCGGCTTGGATTTGATTGGAACTGGTCGTTCAAAAAGATTAGACAAATTATTCCAGAAAGAAATAGATGATTTATGCTCCCTCTCTCAATCACAAAAGTTTCTTACAAGTAGAGAAAAGAAACATGTGGAAGCTGTTAAATTATGGTCTGAAGGGTAAGTTATATCTTTCATATATGTATTGTTATATTTCATTTTTTATATTAAAATTTATCAATTTAGACTATTAGATGAAGCTACTGTTGTTTGGGAAGATATATTATTACATCACCCAGAAGATATTTTAGCTTTAAAATTAGCTTATGTTACATATTTTTATCAAGGAAAATCTACACATATGAGAGATTCAGTTGCTAGAGTTATGCCTTATTGGAAGATTCATAATCCTCTTTACAGGTAGCATAATTAAGTAATTTAGAAGATATATGTAACAAATTTGGATTTCTTATGCTTTATAATTATTTTAGTTATTTATATGGACTGTATGCATTTGGTTTAGAAGAAACCAATCTATATCGAAAAGCAGAAACAATGGCAATAACAGTTAAGTGTGAAGAAATTATATTAAAAAATTGTTTCAATGTTTTCATCATATAATAATAATGATATTACTGTTAGGGTTTAGAAATGAATTCCAAAGATGCATGGGCAACTCATGCTTTGGCCCACGTTTATGAAATGGAAGGAAGAGTTGCAGATGGTATCAATTTATTTAGTTCTACTGAATCAGATTGGGTGGTAAGAAACTATATTAATAAGTGAAATATTTCTGATTTTTAGAAAATAAGATACAGCTGTCCTTTAATAATCCGACAGGCGACAGGTATGGGACCAAAGGGATGTTGGATTACCAAAAGTGTCCGGATTACCGAAAATAATTACATATTTTGCATTGTTTTGCAAGCAGTAACTTACAATATTCCCTACTCCAACTGTCCAACTACTCATAGAAAACACACAAAATGTGTGTCATCGTGTAAGAATTGGATGGGGAGATTCACGTCACGACATGCTTCTGTGCAGGCAGACATGTAACGGGGACGGGTACCTTGACGGGAGGTGTGTCGGACTACCGAGCATGACGGATTAAAAAACGTCGGACTATCAAGGGAGAGCTGCATTCAGTTTTTGTTAATAAAATAGTAAACTAAATATATATGCATTTTATAGGAAAAAAAATGTATATTTGTAAATTTGAAAACTTAAATTTTTTATGTAAATATTTTGAATATTAATAAAATATATCAGAATTATATATAATTTATCATTTGATTTATTGGGTATTTAATAATGTTGTTAACAATGTATAAATGATGAATATATTTTAATTATTAAGATACAGATTTGTATATAGTAAGTAGATTATAATTGAAAATATAGATAAATTTTTATAATTCCTTTATCATGTGGTGTTATTAATTTAAAGTTAGAATTTGTAGGGCAGTATTTTACATGCTTTTTCATTGTCATTAATATTAGTGTAGTGACTCAGATATATTGAGATATATCTTGTCTAGATGTGGGGTAATGAATTGAGGACTTTACAACATAAAGGAACCACATTGAAAGAGCAGATTTGAATTTTGACATAAACATAACCAATCCATTTAGAAATTTAACAGTGTTCTGATCAATTATACAGTTATTATGACTTATCTACCAATTACACGAGTGACTCTGAGTCAATACTAATACTATGTGAATATTCTTAATGTACCAGTATATACAATTATTTACAAGTCGACACCCAAGATCATTGCATTTTCTGATTATAGTTGCTTAACTACATCCATCCCCTTTGTTAGTCAACACATGGTCATTAAGGGGTCCAACGACAAGGGAAGACTTTCTGAATCCATGAAATAACTGCCTTGCTAAATGAACCCAATAATTTGAAGATCCTTATGATAGTTCCTTGGTGGTAGGGATAGTTCCTTGGTCTTACTCGATGGGTTTGGATTTCTGCTTGCGCACAACAGAAGGTTAGATGATCAGTCTTCTAAACTTCCCATCCTATCATCACTGTGACCTTCTCTCCTCCTTCAGTCCAGGTGGGAGCTTGAAAGTCCAAATCCGGTCTGAAGAATCCGATAGCCCAGAAAAAAAAAGGTGTCTATCGCGTGGAACACACACTTTTTATATCTCCTCCATCCGGGAACCATGTCCACCCATGTGATCCTTTTCTTAACCAATCCACAGTTAGGATGCTTTGACCCAAAAAGGCGATATGGAAAGCACGACAGACTGTTATGCGTAACAATAAAACCTGATACAATTTTTCTTCATGAAAAGGAATGTGGTTACATGATACTACAAACATATATAGTATAGTAGCGGATACTATAGTAGCAGAGCGCTACATTAGCAAACTGTTTTGCTGTATTAATATTATCAAAAATTCTACTGTTATAGTTTATACATTTAATATTATTATAATTTTTGAAGTGTTCTAAACATGTAAATTGTATTATATTGATTTTAGCATTTTTATATTATTTTTATGAAATTATTGTTTAATTGTATTTTATCTTTAAAATTATTTATTTAGTCTTGTGGAATGTTGGCCACTCACAATTTTTGGCATTGGTGTCTTTGTTATATTGAAAAGGTAAGAGTTTATTATTCAATATTATTTTTTAGATGAAAGTATTAATCCC